CTGACACTGAACAACGCGTCGTTTCAACGTCGTCTGAGGGGCAAGGCCGCCTTATGACACACGTCGCGTCGGCAACCTGTGGCACTGATTTCAGAGACCGCTAGTTGGTGCACATTGATGGCCACGATCATGCAGATTGCCATGCGCTGCGGCGTCGCGATTCCTACCCACGAACACGAGAGTTCAATTGTTCACCCCCTCCACTCCGAGCCGAGATGGCCGCACCACCCGATGACCCGAAGACTGTCGCCGAGCACGATACCTTGAAGTATCATCTCCTCGGTCCATCGTTGACCAAGGCAGGTCAGGACTCAGTCGACCAAAACAAGGTGAATAGCCCTCGGACCTTCAGTCATGAGACAATCGCGCTGACTCACCCGTTCTCCAGGTCTCCGAAATCATCTATAATGCATCAAAAGGCTCCAAATATTTCAACCGGGAAGAAGTCAAGGACAAGATTCTGACTCAGAAGATCGACCAGATTCTGCAGAAGAAGCGGCGGCTGGATACTCTCGACCTCACGCGCGAGCTGCGTCAGGCCAACCAGCTCATTACGGAGCTCGAAATATCTCGCGACCTCACACAGCACATTGTCCACATCGACTGCGATGCGTTCTACGCAGCTGTGGAGCTGCTTGACCGGCCTGAGCTCGAGCATCTTCCGTTCGCTGTTGGCGGCGGCGTCTTGACGACCTGCAACTACGTGGCTCGGAAATTTGGCTGCCGCAGTGGCATGGCCGGCTTTGTCGCCAAAAAGCTTTGTCCCCAGCTTATCTTCATCAAGCTGAATTTTGATAAGTACATTGCCAAGGCCCAAGAAGTCCGAGAGATTATTGCCCACTACGACCCGCGGTTCGAGAGTGCTAGCATCGACGAGGCGTATCTCAATATCACGGAGTATTGCAGCGCCAAAGCCATAAGCCCCGAAGATGCCGTCCAGCAAATGCGACGCGAAATCCATGAGAAGACGAAGATTACAGTCTCCGCTGGCATAGCTGCCAATGCCAAGCTCGCCAAGATTTGCTCCAATATGAACAAGCCGAACGGGCAGTATCTGCTGCCGAGCGACCGGGCGTCCATAATGAAATTTATGGCCAGCCTTCCCCCGCGGAAGGTAAATGGCGTTGGCCGGGTCCTCGAGCGCCAACTGGCGGAGATCGGAGTAACAACCTGTGGCGAGATTTACGAGTACCGACAATATCTCAACCAACTGTTTGGCCAAAAAGCGTACGAATTTCTGATCCACTGCTATCTCGGCCTGGGGCGCACCAAGATCCAGCCGGCGGAAGAGTACGAGCGCAAGAGTGTAGGCACAGAAAGCACGTTCCACGATATGTCAGATCCAACACAACTCACGGAGAAGCTGAGATGGACGGCCGACGAGTTGGAAAAGGATATGAAGAGGGCCGAGGTCAAAGGCCGTACTCTGGTGCTGAAAATCAAGCTCCATACATATGAAGTGTTCACAAGGCAGGTCGTCACGCCGAAATCCATTTGCCTCGCAGATGACCTCTTCAGCCACTCTCTGCCTATTCTCATCAAGCTGCAGCAGGAGATGCCCGATATGAAGCTTCGCCTCATGGGCCTGCGAATGACGCACCTGGTGAGCACGAAAAAGCCCGATACAATGGCGTTCTTCGGATTTCGATCACGAAAGGACAATGCTGTAACAGGGTCTCCGAGCAAGTCTGACGCGGGTGGCGAGAAACTCAGTACTCAAGGCATGACGGACGACGATGGTTGGGAACAGTGGCCGGAGGAAGAGCTTTACCAGCTTGACGAGGAGCTACATCGGCAGGCGAATACTGCCGCAGATGAAGCTGAGGACAGCGTGTCGAGTCCCTTTCGACGTCACGGCAAAGAGATTCTTCCAAACCCAATTGACGAGGATGCTCCCGCGAGTGATGCCGAACTTTGGGACTGTCCCATCTGCGGCCGTCCACAGGCGCCCGACGAGAGGACGTTCAATGAGCATATTGACTTGTGTCTGTCTCGGCAGACTATTCGAGAGGCAGTTCAGGAGGATGTCCCTCCAATAGCGGCCGCTTGCGTCAGGTCAAGCACCCCTGAACCTAAAAGGACAAAGTTGGGGAATGACAAGAAGCGGGGGAGGCCGTCGAGTGCGAATGTCGACCCTCGACAGAAGAAGCTTTGTTTTGGATCATAGAGTTATTGGCAACGATAGGTTTGAGCTGACGAATGATACCCATGTTGGATGCTAGACTTTCGTGTCAGCCTGCGTCAAGGATGTAACGAGCCAGTCGACGAGGGTCGGGATGCCAAAGACTCGATCCAACACAGGATCAGCTAGGTTCGCTTCTTTCGCAGCCAAGGCTGTGGGAAAAGAAGCAAGGTTCTGGGGAGCGGATATGTTCGACCTGCAGCACTCTACTGTACGTTTGACGGCGAGGCTCGTCGAAGTCGAGCCGTATTGACAGGAGTAGACTACAGCTTTGATGCATGTTAGATTACGCCCAGATGGTCAGACTACTAGGTCGCGCAGATTCCTTCACCGCCCGTGTTTACCGGTCATGGAATATGGAATGGGAACGCTGTGGTCAAGCTTGGGATTCCTCATGACACTGAGCTGGACCGATCAAGGCTGAAATTGCCAACATGCTGGCCAGCGTTGATCGCAATACTGTTTCCATCAACCGGGCCTTCGCCTTGCGGTGACGAAAAGTACCTTGCAAGGGCGGCTAGCCCTCAGACGTCGATTCTTCTGCATAGGCTTTGAAGCCCAGCAACTCGGCCCCCCAGAACCGTTCCCCTCAGTTCATCGATCTGGGACCAAGACAGGTCTCCGCATCGTCGGCTCCGCAATCCCTACGGAATTCGCCAGGGCGGATGCCGACCTAGCCGAGTCGAACCCCTCAAGGCCGTCAGCAGACGCTCGAAACCGGACAGGCATGCGAATGCGACCGGCCGTCGCTGCCGACGGGTATATCGAATCCCGCTTCGTTGGGTGTGGTTCAGATGTGATACTCTAGGTAAATTGAACGAGGCGACGAAGAGATTGGATAGTGCGACATGCCTCAACAGGTGTTGCGTGTCGGTATCTCCCCCTCCCCCCCTTCTCCGCCTTTACAGGCGCACGCGGGCACAGAAGCAAAAGAGGGCGAAAGGCCAGCCGCCCGGATGAGACGGCGTCGAGGGGATCAGCAGTCGTCCGTCCCATCCGTTTCTCGTCACTTATGAGAGGAGACCCAGCAGCGTGTGCACGCGAACCCCCTGACTTGCGAATACGCATCAACGCCGGTGATGTTGGGTGTTCCACTCTCGCAGCAACGGAACGGATATCACGGATCATGCTCCTTGTTGCCGACGAGTTCTCTTTTGTCGAACCACGCAGCATCACGCGCACACACACGCACACACACACACACACACACACACACACCGAAAGGAAGTCTTTGGGAAAGAGACGCGATACACGTTCCATCCCTCCCCCCAAATAGCCCCCACGCATCGATGCGATGGGTGGAATGGGGCTCTGCCCGGTGCCATGCTGATGGAGACGAGTGGATTCGCGTTTGTCACGCTTGGGTGGCTTGTTCGCCCGTGATTTTGAGCCGCCGGACGAAGGGAAGAGCATTTTGGGAAGGGGGCTTGACGCCGAGACGGGCTGATCTGCAGGGTTCACAGAGTTACGATCGAGGGGGCTTGCAAAGTTCGGGCGAGGGTTGCGCGATGCGGCTGCATTGGCGCTTGGCATTGGGAACGTCAGGTGACGAGGATACGGTCCAAGGCGATGCTCCCGACGACAGACATCGTGACTGTTTAGACTCGCGGGGAAGCAGATTCGATGGTGGCACCGCGTTGGAGACCGCTGCTCGGAGGCCATTTGCACTGACCTGTCCGTTCAGCGCACTTCAGTGGTTGGTCATGCTGTTAGCGGGCTAAATGCATGGGGTCAGAGCTGGCTATGTGAATTTAGCCTGCACCTCGACAGGCTCTGCATCCATCCCACCCTGTCTGTTATGTAGGATAGTTTGGGGAATCAACGGCTCGCGACATCAATCAACCGAATTCCGGGGAGGCATGTGCGTCTCAACGCATTTTATTTGACTTCTGCTTCTGCAGGACGGGCATCACGGCAGTGTGTGCATGTCGACCCAGGGTACCAATGCTCGCGGAGGTCTGCCAAGAAGAGAGCCATGACCGCCTCGACGGGTCGAGTATTAGAGGCGCTGTTGCTGTGCCGCTAAGGCAGGTATTTGAGATTTCTTCTGCGATCTAGATTCTGGAGACTGCCGGGGAAATAAGCGTAAGTCGAACAAAGGTTTCGACGGTCTGGGGGAGAGTTGATCATCTGCGAGCTGGGCCCGCCATCCGATGGGTTCCCTTTTTTCTAGGTACCTTTCTTTGTGAGGGTTGTCGAGGATGGGGAAACGTCATTCATTCTTTTCTTGGTGGTTGCTTAAGTGCATGTGGCGCATAGCTGCCGCGGAAACCTTCCACGTCAAGTCCCGCCAAGCAGGTGTTACCCGTCTTCGTGCAGGATGTGGCAAGGACCAGGGAGGGGAGGGAAGGAAGGAGAGAAGGAAGGAGAGAAGGAAACGGCCATGCTACCGTACCTACCTGCCACACGCGCCACAAACACACGAGTCATCTCAACTCGTGAACGATCCCTCCATTTCATTTCTCCAAGGCTGGCCATCTCCAACCACGGGTCATGTCATGATGACGCTGCGAGAGCGCTGGTCCATCTGAGCTCATCGTTGAATGGCTTTCCCTTGACGGCGCTGCATCAGCGTGTACCTTCTCACCTGATGCCAACGAGCCATTCGCCATCATCCTCAGTCTCGCTCACTTGGCAATGGTCCGCAGCGATGCTCGAGGCCGGCGTGGCTGCGTCGCGATCCTACCTTCCCCTCAATCGACGATGGGTACTTGGTACGTGTCGTCGCTCCAATTCTTTCTGTGCTGAGAAGAGTTTTTCCTACCAGGGATCCTGCGCATGGAGCAGCAACAAGCATCTCGAAATGGGGTACATGTACCTACATAGTACCGCCCATCGTCGTTGTGGTGGTGGTCACGGTCGCAAATGTCCGTTGAGGGGCATCCCGACGTCGAGAACCCTGGGCCGCCGCCGCAAACGCTACTGACTCGGCAATTTGCTGCCGACATGCGACGCCCAGCCCGATCTGCATTCTGATCATCCCTACAAGCGCGCTACTGCCGTGGGCCATGTCATCATCTACCTGAGCCTCGTCCGCATCAGGAACATCGACGACGGGGACTGTTGTTGCTCGACCTTCGGACTCAGTGTCCGAAGGACATCGGGCCTCCTTTTCAGAGCGTCTATTCTTCATCCAAGCTCTAACGCGTGTTGGCTGGACGCGCCCCGAAAGCTGCGGGGGTCGACGAGATACACTACGCTTTTCCCCCCGGTGATGGGACTTACGTGGGCGGAGGTCGGCTCCGGGGACATCGCAACGAAGCCCCATCTTCTATGCTTCTATCCAGTCTGCCGCCCACATCGCCCGGATCAAACGGAACGCTAGTCTCCACGACGGAAAGGGCCCCGACCCTTTCTAGACCACTTCAGGGTACATGACATCAGGCCACACATCGAGCTCAGTGTCACGACCACTCGTTGCTCCCTTTGCCCAGGACCTAACCTCATCCAGGGCTCCATGTTTTGTCGACAGGGTCCAGACTCAGTTTCCGGACATGCTTGAGCCGCCGTGTCGTGCAAAATTTAAATCCGAATAGGAAAGTAGGGCAGAGCATTGGATGGGGGTTCCCCAGTTGCCCGACCAGTGATCATGGCCTTCGGTGATGCAGCACCCCAGGCACCAGATGATGCTGGTCAGCCATTCCCCGGACCTGAGGCACGTCTCTCATCCAATGCTAGTCGATAGGCATGGTGACCGGAGAAGGTAGATCTGGCGTCAGAGCCAGTGGTAGGGGCGAACGACCGAGCCCATGTTCTCAGGTGAGGTCACTGCTTCTCCATTACCATCGCCAGTTCAGCGTCGATCTCACCACTTTGGCTGCATCGTCTTTCCGGCACATGGTGCTAATTTCACCCCAACACTCCCGCCCCTAGCTCTTTTCTCACCAAGGTCCGCGCTCCACGGCCTTCGGGCCTTTGTGCTGCTCCATCTCGACCCTGAATGACTTGTTGACAAATTGCCTTCCCTCTTTTGGCACCAGCTTACCGTCAGCTGTCTCTGAATGGTCCACTCCCCCATCAGTCTACCCCGTATCTCCAGACGAGCATCCCATCTCGCACACCCCGAGCTTCCTTAAAGCACAATCTCCCCACCTACCCCGGGTGAGAGGAAGTTTGTTCCCCCATTGTCTCCTGTATCCCAATCCTTGCTGGTCGTATAAGATATTGGGCCTCGCATCGTCCTTCCAGCCAACATTCTCAAGACCTTCTTTACTCACTCGACAGCCCCGAGCAAGACAAGATACTTACAACACCCAGTCCCCGACATCATGGCCGCCAACACCACCGGCGCCCAGCACGGCGCAGTGCCTCCAGCCGGCACAGAGAAGGAGTTCCAGACCAGCGCTGGTATGCATGAGAACGCCAATGGCTTCGGCCACAACCACCATGGTGGCCCAATCAATGGCAACGGCCACGAACATCAGGACCACTACCGATCGCGCCGTGACAGCTACCACGACTATCCCACGTCCATGGCTTTCGGCGGTGCCCTGCAGCCCGGCATGTGGAAGCCCCTCGAGCACCGCAAATTCGCCAACCCCGCGCCTCTTGGCCTCTGTGCTTTTGCTCTGACGACGTTTGTCCTGTCTTGCGTCAACCTCCAGGCGCGTGGCGTCAAGGCGCCCAACATTGCCGTTCCTCTGGCTTTTGCCTATGGCGGTCTCGTCCAGCTCCTCGCTGGCATGTGGTTAGTACTCGTCTTCCATTTTCCCCGACTTCTGGTTTCGCCTTGTGGCACCATTACAGAGATTGGGCACGTTTTGTGCCTGTTTCTGCCCTGAACTCCGTCTTTGGTGGGTCATGGATTCAACCGCGTCGCCACTTCATTGTGGATTTCGGTCCCTCTCAGCGGAGCCGCACTTGTTGAGGATCCATACAATATCTTGGACTGACCCAATTCGTGCAGGGAAATGGCCGTTGGCAACACCTTTGGCGCCACTGCACTCTCGTCTTACGGCGGCTTCTGGATTGCCTATGGCATTCTGCTGACGCCTGCTTGGGGCATCACCGCCCCCGACGGCCCCTACGCCGCTGATTTCGCGGACCACTATTCTGCCCTCGGATTCTTCCTGACTGGCTGGTTCATCTTCACAACGGTTCTCCTGCTGTGTACTCTCAAGTCCACCGTCGCCTTCTTCTCCTTGTTCTTCACTCTGGACATTGCTTTCCTCTTCTTGGCGTGCGAGAACTACGCGTTGAACGCTGGCAACGAGACGACTGCTCGCCACCTGCAGATTGTCGGTGGTACATTTGGCATGCTGGCTGCGTTCTTGGCGTGGTACAATGCACTAGCAGGTCTGCAAGATGACGGCAACAGCTTCTTCCGCGTACCAGTCATTCACATGCCGTGGTCGGAGAAGGGCAAGGAGATTCGCCGCACCAAGAGCGGACGCACCATGGATTAAGCTCGGCGAGCGCAGTTACAGAGCACACGGTCAGCGAGCTGGAGCCTGGACGATGGGCGTTGGGAGTCGCTACGGCTGGGAACTTTGATTTTGTGTTAGTTCTTACAAGGAGCGACCTAATTAAAATTTCGCTGTTGACATGGAAGATGCTGCATGAATCGTTTCCATAGTGCGATTTTACTCATCACCGGCCTGTATCGCTCGCTCATGGGATCGCGCCGTGCAACACCTCAAGCCGCCATGGACGTAACATTACGGCGCCAATACTGTTCATCTCACGACCATGTGACAGCGCACCGAGTTCCGCTCGACGGCGCCTAATTCTCCGCACGCAACGACGTAATCGATGATCACTCGGCGTCGGGAGGGGCGCCGCCCGGTCGTCGGGCGCGGGGTCTCGCGCCCTGAGCGAACCCCGACGACCCTCAAGCCCCCAAGCCAGCGATCGCTACGGCACACTCTCGATTCGGGCGTGGAAAAGTGCATGAGCTGCCATTTCTGACGCCGCGGCGGGCGATGACGCAGGTTTCGTCTGGAGGGCGGGAGTTGTCCGAGGTCTCGACGTCGGCGAGGGATGGTCTGCGAAAGGTGTCTGAGGACAGGCCCGAACCTACTTCTCTATGCATTTAGGGCCGAGAACGACCTCAGGTAGGACGTATGTACTGGGCGGTCCAGATATGATAGAATGATAGATAGCAGCATTCAGCTTCCAGACCGGTCATGTGACATCGCTTGATCGCACCATATCAGATAAGAATCTTGTAAGTAGGCGATTGAACCGGCTTCTTGGCCTTAATCGCCTGAGACCGTTCTCGGTTCTAAAGGAATGATGTTTGGTGTGGTTTGCTTGGTGGAGGCTCGGAGCTGAGAGGACCTAGTCAATGGCCGGGACTGGGAAGCGTTGCCGTTTGCGTCCGTCTCGGTGAGCATCAAGTTCACCGAGACTGCGTGCTCACCGAGACGAGGGAGAGGCTCGGCTCATCCAAACGAACCATCATACGATATTTTGAACGTGGCGTGACACCACATGTTGCCAACTCAGCTCCCTCTATTCCGACATGTCGTGATGAAACCTAGGCGAACGCCTTTAAAAAGTCTCCTCCACTCCATCCCTGCAACGAAAATGAACAAGTCGCCCCCTCTGTACGCGGCAAATGCACACAACCCGCCTCTCCCAACTCACACTAAAGCTGCTCCTCGGGTTCATCGCAGCCGTCACGCTGGGCATGCTCTGCCAGCACCACCCACTGCGCCACGCTCCTCGCTCCGCAGCCGGCCGTCTCGCGCGCCTGTTCGGCACGACCGCGCACGGCGTCGGTCCAGCACACATGGTCATGACGTCGCCAGCGGCCGAGCGCCGCGTCGTCATCGTCGTCGGGTCCGGGCTCGCGGGCCTGGCGGCGGCGCACGAGGCGCTCCGGCACGGGGCGCGCGTGCGCATGTTCGAGCGCGTGGCCAAAACGGGCGGCAACATCATCAAAGGCGTCGTCGAGATCAACGGCGCCGGCACGGCGGATTCAGAAGGCGGCGGG